GTGTGTGTAAAACGGGTAGAGTAGAGCTTAGAGTAGCTTAGAGTAGCTTAGAGTAGCTTAGAGTAGCTTAGAGTAGCTTAGAGTAGCTTAGAGTAGCACAGAATGCCGTCGAGTAGCTTAGAGTGTCGAAAACAACTCCTAGCATAGAGAAGCGCCGGCGTCGACTCTAACTCGGCGACTGTCCATAGCAAACCGCCGTCCGGTAGACCTGCCCTCAATTCGGCAGTGCGCGTGCCCAAAAAATTAGTTACTATACGTTGTAGCAGAGCTGTAGCGGTAGCGCGTCACACGCGACCCCGGTACCGCGTGCCGCAGGGCCAGTAACACGCTTCGGTACGGGCGCTGGCGCGTGGGCGCGGTACAGCGCGTGGTACTGGCACTGGCCACGTGATCGGTACCGGCCCTGGCGCAGAGCCACGGCGGTTCAACTTCTAAGAGCAAACGATCAGCAGACGATCGGGACCGTCGCGGAGTGTAAAATCGGAGGGCCCCGATCATCTGCTTGTCACAGGCTGAAATTAGCGATAGTTATATATGTAGGGACATACATTGAAGGACTCGGATAATCATACACGCATACACAGAAGGGCTCGGATAATCACAAATGTGTTCACAACACGCAACAACAGATGGCACAAACAAAAAGCATTCACGCCCAAAGACCAGCAGAAGAACAAACAGCCCGCACCTCAGCACTCTCTGCTAACTCAGTTGCTTTCACTTCAGAACCTCGGGCGGCTGTAGAGGATGTTACATACCTGGTTTCACTCACATAATACATATATCATCAAACAGAACTGTCCGGTAAACTGTCAGCAGAGGGGGAGGAGAGGACAACAGATGAGGGGCTGTGACAAACTGTTTTGTTGGAAGTTTCACTGACTCAGCAGGAGGCTGAACCCTATATAAGGCATACAGGCAAAGGCATAGGCAGTCACAGCCAACATGCATGCAGATTGAAGTGGTGCAAGCTCCCATGCACACACAAATGCATTCACACGCAAAGACAAGCAGACGATGAAGGAGGCCCCACCTTGGCAGCCTCCGCTAAGGACATCACCGTCAGTTGCTTTAGCTTCAGAATCTGAGGCGGCTGTAGAGGAGGCAACACCGCCGCATTTGCTGCAGGATCACAACATGAAAAGAAAACCCCAATAAACAGACAATGAGGAGAAATGAGTTCAAAGGAATTTGTAAATCGGGTGACTGACAAACACTGAAAACTTGGCAATCATGAGTTTCTTCGCACTCCCTGTCGTGATTCACTTTGTGTTGCTTCCGCAGTTGCCCTTGGGAAACAAGATGCATTTCCCAGTGTTTTTTTTGTTGGACCATTTCTCAATTTATGTGTGTCATCCTTGTGCAGGGGTCATGCTAATCTTTTCCGTATCGTTCCAATTTTAATGGGTGTCTCGAAGGACAGCTGCATTTTCCACAACTGTGTTTTGTGCTCCAAGTTCTTCAATTACCTTCTGAGATCTTCTGGATATTCTTTAAAAGATTAACGCTTGCCCACGAGCACGGACGAGAGTCGGTGAGTCAGGGCTACAAAAGGAACCAGGTCTCCGCCATGCTAATCTTTTCTGTATTGTTCCAATTTTAATGGATGTCCAAAAGGACAGATGCATTTCCCACAACTGTATTGTGCGCTCCAAATCCTTCCATTTCCTTCTGAGATCTTCTGGATATTCTTTAAACGATTAACGCTTGCCCTTGAGCACGGACAAGAATCGGTGAGCCAGGGCTGCAAAAGGAACCAGGTCTCCGCCATGCTAATCTTTTCTGTATCATTCCAATTTTAATGGATGTCCAGAAGGACAGATGCATTTCCCACAACTGTGTTTTGCGCTCCGAGTTCTTCCATTTCCTTCTGAGATCTTCTGGATATTCTTTAAACGATTAACGCTTGCCCTCGAGCACGGACGGGAATCGGTGAGCCAGGGCTGCAAAAGCAACCAGGTCTCCGCCATGCTAATCTTTCCAGTATCGTTCCAATTTTAATGGATGTCCAGACGTACACATGCATTTTCCCACAACTGTGTTTTGCGCTCCAAGTTCTTCCATTTCCTTCTGAGATCTTCTGGATATATTCTTTAAATGATTACAGCTTGCCCTCAAGCACTGACGAGAATCGATGAGCCAGGGATGCAAAAAAGAACCAGGTCGCATCCGCCCCTCCTCCTCCTAGCGATCAAAAGAGCATTGGGAGAAATCAAAATCCGCTCGACATTCCACAGCACTCGTTCAAGGAGAATTTTTCATTACTGGAGAAGCACCAAGTTTCCTACACAACAGCAATGGGAGGGCAGAGTGAGGGGAATCAGAGTTAGTGTCTGGACACCTATGAAGCAGTGCCCACACACCTATATATGGCTAAACACGAGTTCATCACAAAAATACCTTGGTTCTGCGGCACTTATATGTCTACCAAGACCCCCCTCCCACGATCTGGACTACTTCGATCTCTCGTTGCAAATTTGAACTTTGTTTCGCACATTTTGCGGCTCAGGTTTGCTCCGGAACGTGACTGACCCTTTTCGCTGCCTGTAAGGGTTTGTTTCCCTCCCCAGCTACCACATCAAGAATTTAGGATCTGCAAGAAGACCTTAAACCACCACTACCTTTTCCCATGTGGGCCAACACCGGGCCCCCAAATCTCGAGGAGGCCAAAACGAGGCGGCCGTGACCGACTGTGGCATACTGATACCACAAGGGACCCAGTTAGGGCCCGGTTCTGTAATAGGCATGGTTTAGGCCTAGTTACCGGATCACAACGGTCCCAGCTAGGTCCAGGAACCGTCGGTTCAGTTTAGGGTCTGGTAGGCCTCGTTTAGACCCCACCAGACCCAACGGCTAGTTGTTTAGGCCAGGTACCGGTCCATCGGTAGGCCCAGCCGGCGGCGCAGTTTTAGGCGCCACTTTTCAGATTCAATCGGATCTGCACCGTTGGGCCCGATCAACGGTCCAGACCCAAAGGCACTCAGTAGGACTGAGGCCGACCCAGCACTATATCAGCTGGGTACCAGCCTCAGTCGAGTATGAAGGATGGTTATGAGTTCTGATGATATTGGAGACAGCGACATTGGGACTGTAGGTTGAGGACTACTCTTGGGATCTGATTTCATCTTCCTCTGAAGATGTACCTTGACATTGTGAGATCGATATCTGAGACATTGTGAGACACTGTATTCGCGACATTTCGGATTTTCGCTACCTATGACATTCCAAGATACTATCTTTGGAAACATTGAGTTGAGTCATCTTCCCTCTCCTCCTCCCTTCGTCTCTCCTCCCTCCATTCGTCCGTGTATGATCTCAGACGCTGGCCTTTCTTCTATGTCCAAGGCCAGGGCTTTCACACCACTGATGCATGATTGAGGGTGCAGTCTGAGTCAGGTCAGAGTCAGTCCATGGGTATCAACTCTTCCGCTGTATTTGTATTAACTCCGTATTATCTGGTCGGTTCTGGGAATCTGCGCCATACTTATGACTGTGTTTCACGAGTATGCAACACCGACCCTCTTCGCTGCCATAAGGGTTTGTTCCCCTCCCCAGCTACTACATCAAGAATTTAGGATCTGCAAGAAGACCTTAAGGGAAAAAAACAAGAAGAAGGCGACCTATTATATCTGTGAAGCTACCAGAGAGAGCCTCTTGTTGTTCAGAGCATTTTTTCATTTTTTTACAACGCGGCACCTTGCGAATATGTTGTGCTGTATCTAAACTTTCTAAAGCTTTGAGTGATAAGTTTTCAAAGTGTTGAAAATGCGCTTGTACATGAAAAATGTGCTTCCAATTGGTTTTAAAAAAAAAATCCATTTATGATTTATATTCAAGTTGCCGAGGGCCACGTACAGGTGGTTTCAACCATGAGTGCCACACACATCTACTGAAAGTGACGGCCGTATACACACAGGCCGTGCTTTCAATGTACGGCCTGGCACAGCCATTCATGTCTCCCCAGCCTTGCCACAAAAAAAAAGTCGTCATGGCCGCATACATAGAGGCTGCGCTTTCAATAAACGGCCTGGCACAGCCATTCATCTCTCCCCAGCCTTTCCACAAAAAAATATGATGCCTCTTAAACCACCAGTACACAGCCGCAGCCTTGTAGAAAATTGCAAGTTGCCAACTCCGAAATTTCCGTGGCTCAGGCCTACCGGACTACAATGGCTGGCGGCACCAGCCAAACAAGAGAAAAAGTTTGCCGCTGGCGGTTCAGAAAAGCTTGGCGCGCATTGCAGCGCCTCCAGGCCCGGGCGTACTGGTGGTTTTAACCATGACTGCCAAGCGCATCTACTAAAAGTGACAGCCGTATTTCGCAGAGGCCACGGTTTCAAAATACCAGCCTGCCTGCCTGCCTGCCTGCAGTTTGTCAGCACAGCCATTCACCTCTCCCCAGCATTTCTGCAAAAACCGTTGTTTGGGGGGGGAGGGGAGGGGAAGGAGGGAAGGGTTCCCCATACCCTTGTAATCTGCCCAGGTGCCATGTGCAAAGAGACGAAGAAGATCATGTGGTCCTGAATACTCTGACCCTTGAAGCTGCCAACAGACACGACAAGACACAGGAGACGACAACAGACTATACAATTGTCAGCAAGGAAAGCGACAGAATACATCATAGTTGTCAATCTGATCGTTTTTCCGCATTCGGACCAAACCGCACTTCGGACCAAACCGAACCGATTTTGACCGGACCGGGACTGTCCTTCAGAGGGCATCGGTTAAAATTGGAACGATACACAGGAGATAAATTAGCATGGCCCCCGGCGCTTTCAAGGGTGACACGCATAAATCGAGAAAAGAGGTCCGAATTCAAAAAGCCAAACAAAACAAAAAGGTCCACATTTATTTATTTTCTGTTAGTTTCTTTTTTTTTCCTTCTTTTTCTTTTACAACAAGAAAATCACTTTATTAAACAGAGAAAAAGAGGCCGGGAATTCCTCAACAAACAACCCGGAAAAGAAAGAGAGAAATTCTGGGACCATTACCCAGCTTAGGTTCTGGCATTGGGAGAAGCTGTCTAGGAACAGAAGTGGCCAAATCCAGACTGCTGTCCTGTTGTCTCCCCAGCCCTGGAAAGAAAACATGCCAGCATCGCCTACAAAGCCGCACAATCCCAAATAATTCCAAGAACCATAACAAAGAAAAGGAAGCAATCAATGCCTACATGGCCTACAACTTCAAACAAACCCAAATAGTCCTCACCTAAAAGGAATCGTACCAAACTACAGCCTAAAACCAACATCTATCCTGCATTAATCCCCACTAGACCAAGAAATCAACAAACCATGTCTAGGCTTTCCTATATCCAACCTCAAACCACTAGATTCCTACCTATGTTTCCCCTATCACGGGGAAAAGGGGACTCAATGGGTCCCTTACATCTAGTTGTCACTCCCTCCATGTCATCCCTCTG